TCGAACGACAAATTAGGTCTGTCAGTTTTCCTTACTGTAACGTACACACAAGTGTTTAATTCGAATAGTCAGTGAACATCACTTTCATGCGAGAGATGTGAGTATTTTGACGTTCGACTGTCCAGTCGTCTGGACATTAACGGTCACGGAGTGGGAAAGAATACATTTTTTAAGGATTGCTTCCAATGAAGTTGAGAAAGTTTTGGTCGAATGCAGCTTTAAAAGTTGGTGGCTCGAGTTGAACGCGAGAAAGTGTTGGTGATCGGTCGGGCGAAGCTAATATGGCGATAATGGAAAACGAGATTTGCCGTGAGATTACACGAGACACTCATTGGTGGAATGTTATGGCCTGAGGGATATGGCCGCCGACGCGTTTATTGCTTCTTACCTGACTGAGTGATTTTATCGTACCGTGTACGGTCTTACACACACAAAGTCACACAAACAAATATATATATATATATAGTAGACTAATAAATAAAAAGTTTAAAACTTATCTTCCGAAGTTTCTATTTCGCAGATGCAATCCCCTCATCAAGGACTTAGATAGTTATACTATATACTGTGTTGGCAGCATTAGAAGTAGAAAAACTGTTTTTTTTTTTGTTTTTTTTACAGAAACTTTTAGTGTAATAGTTAGCGTATCGGGAAGTATAATCGGCGAGTTCAGATCGAATACTGGCCGATGTTCTGCGCGTTTTGCATAATAATTTTGCATTTGAGGACATCAAAAAATTTCCGTAGCTATCACGGATAAATTTTCAAATAATTACAGAGAGCGTTTTTTTTTTTTTAAATCACGATCACAACGGAATAGAAATTTTATCGCAGTTGCAATAAGTTCGACATTGCAATTTACCCCTGAAGATGATCTTGGAAAAGATGGTAAGGACTTGTGTAAACAAAAAACCCGCCGCATTCCTTGATGAATTTTATCTTCACATCAAGAGACTGATTAGACAATGTGTCTATATTATTTGATTAAACAATTCTGAATGAAGATATGCACCTATATATATATATATATATATATATATATATATATATATATATATATATAGTTTCAAAATTAATTTGAAACATTTAAAACCATTTATTCTACATTCAACATCATCATATGATAAATATATTTATCTTATAATTTTTAAAATAAATAATTATATCTGCTCTACTCTGTATTGAGCACTCTTTTAAGAATAGTAATTGTTGGTTACTGAATTTATTCCGTATACACCAATCCTATATATATATATATATATATATATATATATATATATATATATATATATATATATATATATATATATATATGTATAGTAAAAAGGAAGAACAGTAAGACATGTAATCCGGTGCTCTTATTGATATTTATATTTTTACACAACAGTGTTCAATGCAAATGTACAGAGCGTACATATTATAAATTAACTGATTTAAAAATATGGTTTCATCTCTACACAGGAATTACCATGTTTCAAAAGCAGAAAACAAAAACTTTTGGAATTTTGGAATTCAATTTTAATTTTAATTTAATATAATCGAATTTGAAGTTTTGGTTTTCTGTTTTTGAAACAAGGTAATTCCTGTGTAGCGATGAAACCATATTTTAAAATTTTTTAATATATATATATATATATATATATATATATATATATATATATATATATATATGTGTGTGTGTGTGTGTGTGTGTGTGTGTGTGTGTGAACTGGGAACAAATATGGATCGAAACTGAAAGAAAGACGAAGCTTTAATAAAAGTGAAATGTGTTAGATTTATAAATGTTCCCTCTTTGTTCTTTTTTTACCCTATCATATATATATATATATATATAGCGGACTCTCTCATCGTTTTCGATGTATCAGGGTCAAGCAGCTCAGTTCCAAGCAACCGACAGCCCGGACGCCAGCACATATGATTTGACTATAGAGGTGAAGGCTTTGTGCAGAACCAACCACACTTTTTCAAGGGCCCAATACAGAGACCTGGTGCAGTACGAACCATAAGGTCCTCGAACGCTCCTACGCAGGTTTTGAATTCAGAGTTGTTCTCCTCCCTGACCAGTTGCTATCCAAGGCTATAGATCCCAGTTACTATTTACTCATAGTTGGAAGGAGAAGAAGAGTATTTCCAAATAAATATGTAAGTAAATGTAATGGATTCGCCTCGAATTCGAACTCGGCTCTCCGGTTCCTCATCTATTAAAATCTATTAAACAATAGACAGGAGTTAACGGTTTTGTGCCGGCATCATCAAATTTTCGCATTGAATAATTAGCATAAAAACAAACAAGCAATAAAATAATTTTTAAATTCCATAGTCTAAATAAATAGTTTAAAATGCCCTATCAAAAAAAAAAAAAACCTTTATGAAGTCGTCAAAAAAACAAATGTTAGCGAATTATGACAGTTTTTTTTATATACACAAAACCCTTTCAGAAAAAAATAAAAAATAAAATAAAAAATAAATAAATCTCCATAGACACTTAACCAGACTAGACGATGTCATCTTCCGCTTTAAATTTAGACATCCCAACCTTACCCTGACTTGACCTCTTTGAATGTAACTGAGATATTGATACAAATTATTAACCCTTACGCCTCTTTTCTTTAAACAATTGCTCGAGCCGTCACCATAGTAATTTTAATTTTAATAATGAATATGCTTATAAAATGCGTAAATTTCAGGAATAAGTTATTCCCCCCCACCAAAAAAAAACTCGCTTGAAGATGGAACAGAGCTTGGTAGTTTAATTCAATTTAATTCAAATAATTATATTGAAGTTTTCGGCTCTTGTTTTGAAACATGAGAACTCTTATGTAGCGATGGAATCATATTTTTAAATAAATAATTATATTTATGCTCTACTTTTGTATCGAGCGCTGTTTTTTAAAAATAATAACAAAAATACTAAAGAACTATTACTATACTATTACTATATTATTTACCTAACGAGTTTTTTCCTATTTTCTATATATTTTGACACACACAGACACAGACACACACACACACACACACACACACATATATATATATATATATATATATATATATATATGTGTGTGTGTGTGTGTGTGTATGTATGTATATGTGTGTTTTTGTGTGTATGTGTGCAGAGTGCACCCAAAAATGCATACACACTTCAGGAAAGGAAATAGTTTTATTAAATTACAATAACAGATTGCGATATTTTCTCGGCAGATGGCATAAAATTGTTTGACCTTTAGACAAGAAATTGAAAATCCAACTGGACGCATTAGCCACCGTTGACCAAAAATGACTGGAACCGAAACGCCACCATTTTGAGCATCTCTTGTGATTTCAGACTCCAAAGGTAACTTGGATTAATCACGTGATGTTTGAATAAATAAATTTCCTATTACAATATCTAAGTTATTCTTGTCCTTAATGCTGTATATAGTTTCTTGGCAGACTCAGTGTATCTGTGCGCATGCGGTAGAATTAAGAAACCCGTAGCCTCAGGCAGCGAGAATTTGAAATTTGAATTTTAGTTTTCGAACACTGAGTTTTATGGAGAAAATACCGGATTGGCAAAGGATGGTAGATTGACGAATATATTTGTTGGTTTTAATAAGTAAAGTTTTCTTCATTACGCTTTGTGCTAAACGAGTCTCAGTCTATTATACAAGAGAAGAACATAGGCTGACTCTGAAGGAATATTGGTAAAGTTTTAAAATCTCGTTTTGAAATCTCGTTTTGAAATTAATGTATTCAATATTTCACAGCTCTCGGATCACTCCTTCCTAATTAGCCTATGACCCTTTCAGCCCATTAATTTCACTCGTTTATATATATATATATATATATATATATATATATATATATATATATATATATATACGTCTGACCAGTTTGTTACTGGAAGGGATAATTCCGAGGAGTATATAAATCCAGGAGAGCACAATGAAACAGAGCATTATAAGAATACAGCACAAGTGTTCATTCGATTATGGAAATCTCCGGATGAATTTTTCAAGAGTTGAACACCATTCACAAGTAAATTATAATCAAAATGAATTAAAATTCCGTTTTATTATTATTATATTATATATATATATATATATATATATATATATATATATATATATATATATATATATATTCATACACGTTTTTAAATAATATAGACAGATTGTATATTTATTTTATGTGTTTTTCGTAACGTCTGATAAGTTTAATAACATTATCGCTGAACGAAGAAAGAAATTCAATATTGAACCATATTTTTAATAGAATCTAAAAAAAAAATACGCCATTATCAAAGATGTCAATTACAACATATTATGCAATATATATATATATATACATATATATATATATGTTTTGAGGAACATATATATATATATATATATATATATATATATATATATATGAGCAAACTGCTGCTCATTTTTTTAATTGGCCTAAAAAGTAGTTGTTTTGTACATTAAATGAGGCAATTTTTGATTAGAAATTTTATTATGGCAAAAAGAAAAAAAAAAGATTTTATGATTAAATTTTACTCTCGTCAAAATATCCTCCTTTCGCCTTGATTACTGCAGGAAACATGTTTTTTGCCATTCGTTAAAAATTTTTCTCAAAATATAAGTTTGATAATCGATTTCATTTTTTTTTCAATGATTCTAAGAGCTCTTTTTCATTCTTTGGGATGGAAAAGTTCCATTCTTCTGTTAAGTTCCTGTCATACTAGTTCTTGAACTATTGAACTGTAATTTCTCTTTCTCTCTCAGACTCTCTCTCTCTATATATATATATATATATATATATATATATATATATATATAATAGGCAATTTAGTTCCACATTTCAGTTAACAGTTTTTTCCCCAGAAGAAATTTAACAGATATTTGTTCCCATATTTTGTAGGAACGTTTCCCTCGGCTTTGTCTGGCGTAAATTGTGTCCCGTTGGAACAAGACCCGAGTTAATATGGGTGCTACTTAGATGTCAATTTGATCACTGGGAGCATTTTCGCCTTCCTAATGCGCAACGTTATTTGCTTGCATAGTTCATCCTCTCCTTCTTTCAACTATTCGAATGCATTGGTTAAAATCAAATTGAAAAGAGCAAATTAATTGAAAAGTGTTACTACATCTATTTTATCTATCTATCTATCTATCATCATATATATCTATCTATATCTATATATATATATCTATCTATCTATCTATCTATATATATATATTCATCTATCACATTTCTTAAATATCTATCTATCTATCTATTTATTTATCTATCTATTTCATTTCCTAATTGTTCGTAACGTCTGATAAGTTTTAATAAGTATCTATCAGGCAATCTAAGAAAGAAATCTACAATATTGAACCATATTTTTTAATAGAATCTAACATTCCTTTATATCTATCTATCTATCTATCAAAGATGTCATCTATCTATCTTATTATCACATATATATATATATATATCTATATATCTCATATCCTAATATATGTCTGTCTGTCGGTCCATATATATTTTGTTTTTATATATATATATATATATATATCAATGATCAAAAATCTTTTTTTTTTTAATTGGCCTTGAAAAAGTAGTTGTTTTCATCTATCTAATGAGGCAATTTTTTCATTATCTATCTTTCTTATGGCAAATCTAAAAATTCTTTTCAGATTATCTTTTACTCTCGTCAAAATATCCTCATTATCCTAATTGTCTGTTACTGTCGGTCATCTATCTATTTTGTTTTTCAGTATCTATCAGTTTCTGCCTATCAATCTATCAAAAAAAAATTCTCTCCCTTCTTGAAAAGTATATCTTTGATAATCGATTTCATTTTTTATCAATCTATTCTAAGATCTATCTATTATCTATCTATTCTTCTATCTATGGAAAGTTCCATTGTCTGTTAAGTTCCTTCATCTATTTTGTTTTTCAGTATCTAGTTCTTGAATCTATCAAAAATCTACCCATTTCTCTCTCCCTTCTTGAACAAGTCTCATCTATCTCTATCTCTATCTATCTATCTATCTATCTATCTATCTATCTATATATATATATATATTCATATATATCTATATATATCTATCTATCATCTAATTTAGTTCCATCATTATCTATCTATCATGATTATCCTAATTGTCTTTGTCCCAGAAGAAATCTATCTATTTTATTTTTTCTCAGTATTTTGTCAGGGAACGTTTCCATCAATCTTTCAATAAATCTAAATTCTCTCCCCTCTTGAACAAGTGCTACTACATTATCTATCATCTATCTTAAATCTATCACATTCCCTTCACTGGGATTCATTTTCTATCTATTCATTCCTATCTGCGCATTCGTTATTTTCTTTCAGTATCTTCATCCATCTCCATCTATCTTTCATCTATTCGATTATCCTAATTGTCTGTCTGTCTGTCGAATCATCATCTATTTTGTTTTTTCAGTATCTATCAGGCAAGCTGCCAATCAATCTATCAATCTATCTATCTATCTCTCTCTCCCTTCTTGAACAATTGCTACTACATCTTCATCTATCTATCTATCTATCTATCTATCTATCATCAATATCATTCATCTATCTATCTATCATCTATCTATCATTCATTCTCTATCTATCTATCTATCTATCTATCACATTCTCTATCAGTCTATCTATCATCTATCTATCTCATTATCCTAATTGTCTGTCTGTCTGTCGGTTCATCTATCTATTTTGTTTTTTCAGTATCTATCAGGCAATCTGCCTATCAATCTATCAATAAATCTACCCATCTCTCTCCCCTTCTTGAACAAGTGCTACTACATCATCATCTATCTATCTATCTATCTATCTATCTATCTATCTATCTATCATCTATCACATTCCCTTCAGTATCCATATCTATCTATCTATCTCTATCTATCTATCTTGTCTGTCTGTCTGTCGGTCTATCATCATTTTGTTTTTCAGTCTATCAGGCATCTATCTATCAATTTATCAATCTATCTATCTATCTATCTATCTCATTATCCTAATTGTCTGTCTGTCTGTTCTATCTATTCATCTATCTATTTTGTTTTTTTCAGTATCTATCAGGCAATCTGCCTATCAATCTATCAATTCTCTTCAGTATCTCTCTCCCTCTTCTTGAACCCAAGTGTCTACTGTCTGTCATCTATCTATCTATTTTGTTTTTCAGTATCTATCTATCTATCTATAAATCTATCACATTCCCCTTCAATATCAATCTATCTATCTATCTATCTATCACATTCTCTTCAGTATCTATCTATCTATCTATCTATCTATCTATCTATCTATCTATCTATCTCATTATCCTAATTGTCTGTCTGTCTGTCGGTCTATCTATCTATTTTGTTTTTTCAGTATCTATCAGGCAATCTGCCTATCAATCTATCAATAAATCTACCTATCTCTCTCTCCCTTCTTGAACAAGTGCTACTACATCTATCTATCTATCTATCTATCTATCTATCACATTCCCTTCAATATCTATCTATCTATCTATCTATCTATCTATCTATCTATCTATCACATTCTCTTCAGTATCATCTATCTATCTATCTATCTATCTATCTATCTCATTATCCTAATTGTCTGTCTGTCTGTCGGTCTATCTATCTATTTTGTTTTTTCAGTATCTATCAGGCAATCTGCCCATCAATCTATCAATAAATCTACCTATCTCTCTCTCCCTTCTTGAACAAGTGCTACTACATCTATCTATCTATCTATCTATCATCTATCACATTCCCTTCAATATCTATCTATCTATCTATCTATCTATCTATCACATTCTCTTCAGTATCTATCTATCTATCTATCTATCTATCTCATTATCCTAATTGTCTGTCTGTCTGTCGGTCTATCTATCTATTTTGTTTTTTCAGTATCTATCAGGCAATCTGCCTATCAATCTATCAATAAATCTACCTATCTCTCTCTCCCTTCTTGAACAAGTGCTACTACATCTATCTATCTATCTATCTATCACATTCCCTTCATATTCATCTATCTATCTATCATCATTCCCTCTATCTATCTATCTATCTATCATCTATCAGTATCTATCTATCTATCTATCTATCTATCTCATTATCCTTTGTCTGTCTGTCTGTCGGTCTATCTATTCATTTTGTTTTTTTCTATCTATCACATTATCTTCAATTGTCAATAAATCTGTCTGTCTCCTATCAATCTACTACATTGTTTTTCATCTATCATCCCTTCAATATCCCATCAATCTATCAATTCAATCTATAACATTCTCTTCAGTATTCATCTATCTATCCCTCTATCTCATTATCCTAATTGTCTGTCTGTCTGCTTGGTCTATCTATCTATTTTGTTTTTTCAGTATCCATCTCTGCCCATCAATCTATCAATCATCTCTCTCTCCCTACTTGAACAAGCATCATCTCATCTATCTATCTATCCATCTATCTATCTATCTATCACATTATCTTCATTGTCTGTCTGTCTGTCGGTCTATCTATCTATTTTGTTTTTCAGTATCTATCAGGCAATCTACCTATCAATCTATCAATAAATCTACCTATCTCTCTCTCCCTACTTGAACAAGTGCTACTACATCTATCTATCTATCTATCTATCTATCTATCTATCTATCACATTCTCTTCAGTATCTATCTATCTACGTACTGACATACATGATTAAATATCTATCTATCTATCTATCTATCTATAGACATATACATGAATACGAGGGGGTGCTGAAAGGTTTTCAGCCTCCCCTTGAAAATCAGTATTTCAATGTTCAAACATTATTTTTCAGCAACGAGGAGCCAAATAGGTTGAACGGCAGGCTAAATATGCCTCGACGTTATTTTTGGGGCTGTATCGAGAACTAATCACCAAACCCTAGATAGATAGATAGATAGATAGATAGATAGACTGACAGCCAGACAGACACTGAAGAGTATGTGATAGATAGATAGATATGAAAAAATTAGACAGAGGAATAGATACTGAAAAAATAACAATCTCTTCTTCTCTCTCTCTATATATATATATATATATATATATAGATAGAGAGAGAGAGAGATATATATATATATATATATATATATATATATATATATATATATATATATATATATATATATATATATATATATATATATATATATATATATATATTAGCACCGTCTCTTATCCAGCATATTCCATCAGCCGTTGAACGTCGTATTAACCAACACTTCTCTAACAAAGATGTGTTTGAGAAACATAAAACGATGTGTAACAAAGTTCTTAGTGATAGTGGATACAGATCTTCTGAAATTCAGTTTGTAGAACATTACGGCTGTTCTATACACATCCATTCAATAAATTAGTTCATAACAAGTTAGGACACAAGTTTTTAAACTTAATTGTGAATTGAAGGTCGTTCTCAACGGATTTTCCTCCAGCTCTTATCCCACGAACTCAGGTGTTTCCCAAGGCTCCATCCTAGGCCCTACTCTGTTCAACGATCTTTCTGACGTCATAGATTCCCAAGTCGGCATCTACGCAGACGACATTACAATTTACTCCTGCCTCAAAAACAAATCTTGTGTCGTTGACAAAACTAACCTGGCCGTTCGTCTCGAAAAGGACCTCCAATTGGAATTGGCTGGTTAACTTTAACGCCTCAAAACAAAACTGCTCTCTATTACTCATCACAGAGAACCATCCCTGACACCCACATTAGAATGTCTGACGTTCTCGTTAGTTCCCCTTTGCGACTTCTCGGTCTCACGTTGACTGCTGACCTGAGATGGAACAAATACATTGAGTCAATTGCTTCGTCCACCGCAAGGAAAGTTGGCTCCCTGAGCCGCGCCAGGAAATTTTTCTCCCCGGAATCGATCCTTCAAATCTACAAATCAACCATTCGCCCTTGCATGGAGTACTGCCGCCATATATGGTCTGGAGCCCCTTCTGTTTGTTTCAAGGTCCTTGGTAAAATCCAGAGACGGATATGCAATCTAATTGGTCCTGATCTGGCATCTCGTTTGCCGTCGCTCTCTCACAGACGTGCCGTCGCCTCTCTCTGTCTTTTTTACAAATACTTTCACGATAACTGCTTGATGAGCTGCTTTTCGAATTTGTTGCGGTTCACAGACTTTCACTGTGAAACTTTAAATGTAGCCGTCTTTTTTTTACTTCAACAGTTTTCAACTAGGCTTCTATTGGCATATCCCAGAAATATTATAGAAATTGGTAGCACTAAGAATCCCAAAATGTTAAATTGATAGCCCTAAGAATCTTTTCAAAACGGTTCTATAACCATCAATAGCTTATGACTTCACTTTCTAAGTATTCTTTTGAAATTGAAAAGAAAACAAGACATCTAAAGTTAAATGGAAGAACTTGTAGATTTGTTTGTTCGTGCATATATATATATATATATATATATATAGAGAGAGAGAGAGAGAGAGAGAGAGATTGATAGATAGATTGATCGATAGATTGATATGTTGAATTGATATGAAAAAGAACTCTCCCCCTTTCCTGTTTCCCTGATAGCTATAATTTTCAACTATTCAAATGTAATATCAATCGACGTCTCCAGATGCCCTGATCTATCCCCTATACTTCTCTTCATCCTTCCTCTATCATTCCTATTCGCTGTCACTCCAAATCTCTGTAACCTCTTGTAACTCCTAGCGTACTAGTGGCTTCCCGCCTTGCTTGGGATGAAACGCTTAATTTTTTTTTTTCTAAAATAATCCATTAAGTTAAATTTTCAATCGAAATACTCTAAAAATTAGCTATATTTTTAGTAACCATCTGGAAAAAATTATTAAATCTTACAACAATAAAACACTAAAATTTGATAACACTAATAACAGTAATGCTGGTACCAATTCTAATATGTGCTTGTGTAACTAACCTATGTAATTGTAGGTGTTCTGACCAATGTCCTTTTTGTAACAAATGCTTAACCTTAACAGAATCTGTTGTATATATGTGTGTTTTTTTCATTCTATTGAAAATCCCAGAAATATTATAGAAATTGATAGCACTAAGAATCCCAGAAATGTTATACATTGGTAGCCCTAAGAATGCTTTTCAAAACGGTTCTATAACCATATCTTCTTTTACTAATGTTGACAAACGCAATATGACTTCACTTTCTAAGTATTCTTTTGAAATTGAAAGAAGAAAACAAGACACCTAAAGTTAAATGGAAGAACTTGTAGATTTGTTTGTTCTGTATGCAATATATATATATATATATATATATATATATATATATATATATATATATAGAGAGAGAGAGAGAGAGAGACTGACAGATAGAGTGATCGATAGATTGATATGTTGAGTGATTGATATGAAAAGAACTAGACAGATGAAATACTGACAGATAAATGGACACTGAAAAGAACAAGATAGATAGATAATGAAAAGAATTAGACAGATAAATACATACTGAAAAGAACAAGATAGATAGATAGATAGATAGATAGATAGATAGATAGATATGAAAAGAACTAAGAATGAAAAGAACTAAGATGAATAGATATTGAAAAGAACAAGATAGATAGATAGATAGATAGATAGATAGATAGATAGATAGATAGATAGATAGATAGATGAGAAGCTAATGATAGATAGATAGGTAGATATGAAAAGAACTAAGAACGAAAAGAACTAAGATGAATGGACATTGAAAAGAATAAGATAGATAGATAGATAGATAGATAGATAGATAGATGATGAGAGTTTCTCTAACTTGTATGTGAATAGAACATGAAATATTCCGGCGTTAGAAATACAATAGTTCCAGATTTAATGTTCACATTTTAAAAGCAGAACTTCTGAAATAATCATCAGAGGAATTAGCGATATAAAAGTCGTGTAACGATGGACATTAAGCGATAAAAGAAAGGGTTAGAAGCAATGAGCGAGTGCGCAGAAGAAATAGAAGGCGAAGGAAATAAGTCAGTAGGGAAGTGAGAATAAAATTTGATGGAGATGCGACATGACAGGAAGTGGGAAGAGTCTGGATAGAAATGGGGTGGCTAAAAACTATAGTGGCTGATGGGATAAGTGACTGAAGTTGAGATAAATCAGAAACGAATAAATGGGGAGAAAAGGAAAGAAAACGACACAAGGAAAGGAAAAAAAGTTAAGAAAGAAGATTAAAAACCCAAACAGAAATGGACTATGTTAAATTTTAAAAGATTTATCAACACAACGATTTCTTTATCTTCTCCCTCGCTCTGATATATATATATATATATATATATATATATATATATATATATACATATATATATATATATTCTCTTCAGTATCTATTTATCTATCAATCACATTCTTTTAAGTATCAAGATCTTTATATTATCTATCTATCTATCTATCTATCTATCTATCTATCTATCTATCACATTCTCTCCAGTATCTATCTATCTATCTATCTATCTATCTATCTATCTATCTATATATATATATATATATATATATATATGTGTGTGTGTGTGTGTGTGTGTGTGTGTGTGTGTGTGTTGTATCCTAGGAAGGGTTACTGAATGAGGAATAGCCAAAACGGAGATTAGAAATGAAATGGTAATCTTTATAACATCAACAAAATACAATACTCGCCAACGTCGTGAAGTATGTAAACAACTTCTAGTGGTGGACTACAGAGACACCACATTACCCCCACTTACAATAGTGTCCAACGTATTTATGAGCATTCAGACATACCCATTAATGTTCATAGGTACGCTATACAACACTATCGCTCGCTCTCTCTCTCTCTCTATTGATCTATCTGTCTATCTATGTATCCATCTCTCTCAGTCTCTTATCTATCTATCTATCTATCTATCTATCTATCTATCTATCTGAAATCAGGGAGCAGAGTTCGAATACGAGTTGGCTTCGTTAAATTCACTTAGACACAAATAACTTTCGAAAATGTATGAATTCACCTCAGTTAAATTGGTTGAACGCATATCAGTAAAAATCTTTATGATTTCCCAATAAACTTTTGAACATGAAGAGTTTGATTCGGGTAAAAAAATGTCTGACACAACACAGTGAATACGCTTTCCTATCAGCAGACATAACAAACCGAACCTTAAACTGTTTTGTGACCATTTAGAAGTATTCACAAACTCGATATACCCCCAGCAACATCGGGCCCAAATTGCTCAGTAATGTTTTGAGAAGCATTTTATCGACTGTCGACGAATGGTCTGGAGCCTAGCTGAATATATAGCAATTTTCTAAGCCTAGCTTAGATGTGGCACAAGGCCGAAATTATGAGGCTGGAACTCCCTACTCAGTCGTAATTGTTCTAGCGAGACAATCTCGGTAACCATTTCACCGCCTCTAGGCGGCCGTCCAGCCGAGTATATATGGGGCGTGGTGTTAATGTCTATTCGCACGCAAGATACTACACCACATGTTATTTCCAAAAAGATTTTAAATATTAGTGGAATTTATACTGCTCAACTTTCCCGATCGCAAGTTCTGTTGGTACCGTAAAACATAATAGTACCCAGCGCGTGGTTAGGTGGTCGGCGGCAAAACCGTTTCTCCCACCAGGCTTTTCTAGTGTAGAGATTTGCTGATCTGACAAGCGGCGGACGAATCTTCTTGTAGAGTCAACATCCGTCTAGCAAAATGGGGTAGACCTGGGCAACATATCTATATGTATGCAAGCAGAAATTGTCGGTGGGGATTTTTAGAATGAAGTCAACGACCGATGGAATCAACGGCTCCGTTTTCCTGAACAAGGCGAGCTTTCAAGCTGATGTGATTTGTCCGGGAGAGGGATGGGCTCCGCCAGGTATTCTTGCTCCAGACGGTATGAATGAACACCTCTCCGGTTTTTAACCCAGATTTGTGTAAAGGAGCTGGTAAAGTGCTTAGCTGCACAAAAGACCCTACGACCACACTTGGACATAAGATATGATGATGATGATATGATGATGATGATGATGATACCCCCCATTCCAATTATATATGGCTATCTTTCAACAATGCCCTTGTCAGTGAAAATTCCAATCCGATGTTGAGTAATTATCTTATATTGATATATGTTATCAAGCATATGATGCCGTTCGACGAATACAGTCTGATATATGAGTTAAAGTTACCGGACACTTTTGTTAAGTACAGCATACCATACTTGGGGAAATTACCCAAAGGATTCGTTTTCTGCTGTGATTTACTTTGGAAATGCAACCATTCTTGTCAGCATAGGGATTAGAGGAAAACATATATGGTATTAAGCGACATCGAGCTTAATGCCTTTTAAGCGAAATTACAGCAGTTTACGAAGCTTTAATCTGTGCCCTTCAGCTAGAACCACTTACACACTCACATACACACAAACAGACACACACACACACACACACACACACACACACACACACACACACACAGACACACACACACAGAGACACTACTTACACTTACTTATATATATATATATATATATATATATATATATATATATATTATACTATATATATATATATATATATATATATATATATATATATATATATACATACATACATACATATATATATATATATATATATATATATATATATATATATATATATATATATACGACACTATGCTTTTACTAGCATCTACCCATGATGACTTGGAACAAAATCTCATTTGCCTTCCCCACACAAGCTAGTACAAAAAATGCCGATCTCTCTCAAAGAAAATATCTAAATTAGAGGAAAGAAAGAAAGAAAAAAAAAGAAAGAAATGAATGAAGGGAATGCGAAGAAAGAAGAAATAAAGAAATGTAAAAAAAAAAAAGAAAAAGAAAGAGGTGAAAGGACAAAAGAAAGAAAGAAACAAGGAATGTAAGAAAGAACTTCAACGAAATAAAATGGGAGGAAGAGAAGTGGGGCGAAGAAAGAAACACAAAGAGAGAAAAGTTAAAGAATTGGCGGGAAGGAAGACGAGGAAGAGGGCAAAAAAGAACGAAGGATTATTTCCAGAATAAAAATGAAGAGGAGACAAAAGAAAAACAAAAAAAGGAAATAAAGAATAAATGAATAAAAGAAAGAATGAAAGAGAAAGAAAGGCTTAATAGGGAATGACGGATGAATAAAATGTAAATATGAACCTAACAATGAAAAATGAAAAAGAATGAAAAATAAGTGAAAAATGATGAAGAATGGGAAAATGAAAAAGAATTAAAAAATTTAAAAGAGAATGAAAAAGTGAAAAAGAATGAAAAAATTGAAAAATGAAAAAGAATGAAAAGAAATGATGATGAAAAGGTATTAAAAATGAAAAAGAATGAAAAAAGTTAAAAAAGAATGAAAAATGAAAAAGAATGAAATGAAATGATGATGAAAAGGTATTAAAAATGAAAAAGAATGAAAAAAGTTAAAAAGAATGAAAAAAATGAAAAATGAAAAAGAATGAAATGAAATGATGATGAAAAGGTATTAAAAATGAAAAAGAATGAAAAAAGTTAAAAAGAATGAAAAAAATGAAAAATGAAAAATGAAAAAAGAATGAAAAGAAATGATGATGAAAAGGTATTAAAAATGAAAAAGAATGAAAAAGTGAAAAAGAATGAAAAAAATAAAAAATGAAAAAGAATGAAAAGAAATGATGATGAAAAGGTATTAAAAATGAAAAAGAATGAAAAAGTGAAAAAGAATGAAAAATGAAAAAGAATGAAAAAAAATGAAAAATGAAAAAGAATGTAAAGAAAGGAAAAGGAATGAAAAAACGAAAAGAATGAAAAAGTGAAAAAAGAATGAAAAAAAATGAAAAATGAAAAAGAATGTAAAGAAATGAAAAATGAAAAGGAATTAGAAATGAAAAAAAGAATGAAAAAATGAAAAAGAATTAAATAAATAAAAAATGAAAAGGAACTAAAATGAAAAAAATGAAAAAGTTAAAAGGATAAAAGTTAAAAAGAAAGAAAAAATTAAAAAATGAAAACGAATGAAAAATGAAAAGTAATGAAAAAATGGAAATGTGAAAAAATTAAAAAAAAAGAATGAGAAAAATGAAAAAGAATGAAAAATTAAAAAAAAGGAATGAAAAAAATGAAAAACTTAAGCCTATGTTAGTTATTTCTTTTTCCTTTCATTCGGTTTACGGCCATATTACGTTAAAATACCGGTTCTCGTTTGATCACCGAAGTTAAACAACGTTGAAACTGGTCAGTACTGAGATGGGTGACCGCTTAGAAATACCAGTTGCTGTAAGAGTGGATGTGCTGGTGTTGTAATGAACAACGTCTCTGAATTGCAAACCGGAGCGTAGAGTTCGAATTCAAGTTGGGTTCGTTAAATTCATTTACGCGCGAAATAGTTTTGGGAAAGGGATGAATTTAGCCCAATTCAATTAGTAGAATTTGTATAAGTAAAAATCATTATTAGCCACGTCAGGTTCTGTTTCCTAGAATACTGGTCATTTGAGGCCCTTTTTTTTTCTTTCATTAACAGAAACCATTTGTATCCTCGTGGCTTAAATCGTGCTTAAAAGGTGGTTTTATCAGAAACGCAGAGGTTTAATCTTTTCTTCTGGCTTTCCTTGATTTTTTAATAGCTTAGCTTTTGGAAGGCTTCTTTGGCTATCCCAATGCACTTTCGAATTTCAGTGTCGCACTTTCCTTCTTCTGTTAGAACCCTTTCCAGATATTTAAATATTCTACTCATTTGATTTTGGCATCCCCGATTTGTAATTTGCATTTTGGGCTCATCCTTTTGCTAACAACTATCTCTGTCTTCCCGCATTTGAGATTTAATCCTTTCTTCTCTCTTCCCTTCATAATCTTCTGTAAAAGTTTTTGTAGCTTTCTTTCTATGTCTGCTATCAACACGGTGTCATCTGATGTATAGGTTAAATAAGTCCGGTGAGAAGACACATCCTTGTCTTAAGCGTAGAAAAAAAAAATTAAATAATTTACATTCAGATTATTTCCTCATATGTATTGTTACGATCACAACGTTTCAGCCGTTGTGCCATCAGGCCTTCATCAGTTGTCTGTCGATCCGAATAACATTCAAGGAATTTTCAACTGAACCCTTTATTTAATCTGACGTGGTAGAATATTTTCATTATGTTATACATGTCTAGGGATAAGCCGTCTTTTATTTTTTTATTTCATTTTAGAACTGCTCGGTTACTGCCGGCCTGTTTCTGTTGTATTACTTGACCCAGGGATTGAACTCACAATTACTACAACCCCATATAGGAAAGTTCATCAGAAACTGAAAATTCATGAAAGTATTTATAGAAGCTCCGTTAAGTTGGTGGGAAACTGGTCGAAGCCGAGATGACAGATCAGGAGCAATAACATTGCAGATTCTTGTTTGGATTTTATACATAGCGGGAGTATCACACCATGTGGCAACAATATCCAAAGATTTATAGATATGTAAGATAGATTCGGGCGCGAAAACTGTCATGCACAAAACAGTGAACCAACTTTCCTATGCGTAAAGAGAGGGAATGATCTTAAAGAATGGCTGAAATAGGAAGGAATGGAAAGCCAGAAAGAATACAAGATGAATTTAAAGAAAGGAAAGCGTTCAAAAAAAGCGAACCAGAAAGGGGAAGAATATTGGCAAAGAAAACGTTGGAACGAAGTCAGATACGACTAAAAGAAAACAATCAAAGTATCAGGGAAAGAGTTATAGCAAAAAAAAAAAAAAAAAAAAAAAGAAAGGAAAATAAAGGAAGTTAAAAAGAAACGAAATGAAAGCAAGAAAATTACGAATGGAATGACGCTACAGGTGAAAAAAGAAACATGCTCTTAAGAGATAGGTTCAGAAGAAAAATCTTTCATAAGAAAAATACTTATTGGATAAGAATATCTTTGCTAAATAAAGATTTGGGACGAGGTATGATCTTTGTCTTCGAGCCAGTAATATCATTAGGAAAAGGATTGCTTGGTATCTAAATATATATATATCCGAATATGAAAGGCGCATACATATATGTAGTACAAAATGTGTTTGTAATAATAATAATAATAATAATAACATCAACAATAGCATATAGTAAGTATATTAGGACGAAATGCGTAAAAGCCAAAATAGAAAACGGTATTGCCAGAAATACAATTATTTTCTTCTTCTTCTTCTTCTTCTTCTTCTTCTTCTCCTCTTGATTCTTTTTCTACTTCTCCTCCTCTTCTGCCTCCTCTTTCTTTCTCCTCCTCTTCTGCCTCCTCTTTCTTTCTCCTCCTCTTCTGCCTCCTCTTTCTTTCTCCTCCTCTTCTGCCTTCTTCTTCTTCTTCTTCTTCTTCTTCTCTTGATTCTTTTCCTACTTCTCCTCCTCTTCTGCCTCCTCTTTCTTTCTCCTCCTCTTTCTTTCTCCTCCCCCTCATCTTTCTTCTTCTTCTTCTTCTTCTTGATTCTTTTCCTACTTCTCCTCCCCTTCTGCCTCCTCTTTCTTTCTCCTCCCCTTCCTTTCTCCTCCTCCCTTCCTTCTTCTTCTTCTTCTTCTTCGCCTCTTTCTTCTTTCCCTTCTTCTCCTCTTCTTCTGCCTCCTCTTTTTTCTCCTCCTCTTCTGTCTCCTCTTTCGTTCTCCTCCTCCTCTTCCTTCTTCTTCTTCGCCGCTTTCTACTTTTACTTCATTTTCTTCTACTCCTCTTCTTCTTCTTCCTCCTACTCCTTTCTTCTTCTTCTTCTTCTTTTTCTTCTCCGCCTCTTTCTTCTTTTCCTTCTTCTCCTCCTCTTCTTCCTCCTCCTTTCTCATCCTCCTCATCCTCATACTGTTAAAGCACTGTTCCATCTTCAAGCGAAATTTTTTTGGATTCCAAAAAAAAAAAAAAATTCGCTTGAAGATCGAACAGAGCTTGGTACTTTAATTCAATTTAATTCAAATAATTATATTGAAGATTTCGGCTCTTCTTTTGAAACATGAGAACTCTTATGTAGCGAAGGAATCATATATATATATATATATTCGTGTTTCATTATATAATATAGACATAATGTGTCAATTTATATCTATACGGATCCTTTCTAGTTTTCTAATCAGTTTCTTGATGTTAAGAGGAAATTTATCAAGGAAGGCGCCATTGTGTTTGTTAACCCAAGTTCTTTCAAACCTTTCTTAGGTTATCTCATTATCTTCAGGGACAGATTACAGACAATCTTATTGTAACTGAGATAAAATCTGCATTCCTTTGTGATCGTTTCAAAAACACGCATGAACGCGCTCTGTTATGGTCATTTTAGAATTTAAAATTTATCAGTTCTTATGGAATTTTATATGAAGTTACAAGAGAGCTGACCGGAAATTAGTAGAAATGACCTTAAGTGTAATATCTACTTTAATATATTGTTGCTATATTCGTAATAAATTTTGTTGAGTACCGGTTGATTTTGAAAAAGAGAGTCGAGAGAATTTGAAGTTATTGTCCATTATTTTCATACTGGTGTTGTCAGCAAGTCTTTTCCTGTATTGTGAAGGTGGACAGGAATTTCTCTTTAGATATCGCGCAATAGAAATTGTCTTGATAAAATCTCAGTGAGCCAGAAACTACTATATATATATATATATATATATATATATATATATATATATATATATATATATATATATATAGGTAACTATACTTCGTTTCAAAAACCTTCGAATTTTTGATTTGCCAATAATATCGGCTCTTGTTTTGAAACATGAGACTTCTTATGTAGCGTTTTGGAATCATATTTTTAAATAAATATATATATATATATATATATATATATATATATATATATATATATATGGTATCAAATGACAAAAAAAAATTTAATTGGCGTTTCGTCTTCCGACTTTTCAAGGCACATTTGAAATCGAAATGTTATTGTTGTTATAGTTACATTAAAAATCCAAATTTAAAAAGGGATTATACTAAGGGATTATTTTTTTTCTACTATAAAAGTAATTTACATTAACCAGAAAAAAGGCTTAGACAGAAGCGTCTATCTTTTTAATTTTGAATTTTAATGTAACTATAACAACAATAACATTTCGATTTCATTTTTCCTTGAAAAAGTCGGAAGACGAAACGCGTCGGCAAAATGTAAGATTTTTTCCAATTGTCATTTGATCCCAATATGTCTTGTCCACAGAATTCATCTGGGAATTTAACTATATATATATATATATATATATATATATATATATATATATATATATATATATATGTATCTCTAAATTAGTCCAGCACAGAGAAATTTTAACACATGAGAAAAAAGCAGGTAGTATGTAAAAGGCTGGATATAAAGAAGATGTTTAATGTTTCTTGGAGGTGGGGGGCTCGGCTAGCTAGGGTGATATTTTTTTATTTTCTTTTATTTATGACTCACGTGTTTTATTCATTGTCATGACCACCGCTAATTAGCACATCCGTCTATGGCGTCAAGTAAAAAATTACCTGCAATAAATTTTTGTAAAAAAAAAAAAAATAACAGCAGCGTAATAAAAGACACGTAACAGAGTACCCCAAATGAGGCTTTATTCCGCACTATAGAAAGAACATTTAGTAAAAACAAAACTGTTTATATGAAAGTACAGTCCATTTTACCGATAGGCAGGGTGAAGAAATGAGAAAAGAAACGTTCACCACAACCAGTAATATATTTTTTGAAAAAAAAATACCAGCAATATATTTTTGTAAAAAAAGAAAAATTACTAATTCTCCCAAGAAAATTAAATTTCGACATTAAATGACCCATAAAGTGTTGATATGCCGCTAAAGAAACAAACACCATTAGAGTTCAGTACCAAATCTAGTCTATTAGAATCTGCTATTGACCACACCCAACATCGTATTGCCGAAGTATTTACTGTAATCCTAACAGAAATGGCTTCCATGTCTCAGCAAAGGTCAACCTGCGATTTGCTGGTCACGGTTTTGAATTCAGATATGTCTTTTTTTAGACTGATTACCATCCAGTTATTTAACCCATAGCTGGCGGAAAAAGAGATGGTTACTTGCCTTTTCCAAAGGTATTTACGCGCAAGTGAATTGTTGTAGCATACCTACGGAAAATAATGGGTATGTCACCATTCCCATAAATACAATAGTAAATACTGTATGTTGGTCTGCGGACGGAGATTCGTCTCCAGCTGTGCTGGTCAAACTCTCCGGGCTCGAAGAGCAGGGTCTTATCTCGGGAAACAGCTACCCGACCCCATTTTATACGGGTTCTACGGGGAATTTTTGGCCGAGCCATACGGGCTTGTACACCCCACATTACATTTGCTCTTGTGCCGCATCTGATCGCGTCAGGGCGGTTGGTAGATAATCTGAAGTTGGAGATTCGTCTCTAGCTGTGCTGGTCACACCCTCTGCCTCCAGGCAGAGAGGATCTCCAGACGAGGCTATGTCGAAGGGCAGAGTCTCATCTCTGGAAACAGCTACCCGACCCCGTTTTATACAGGGTCTACGGGAAATTTTTGGCTGAGGCTACGGGCTCGCATACCCCACATTAAATTCGACCTTGTACCACATCTGACCACATAGAGTGGTTGGTAGATATACTGCAGTTGGTAATTCATTGTGGAATTCACTTAACTCACTTCTAACAGTTGACTACTTCCTCTACGCGCCGCTGGCGAATCTTATATTTGTTGTTCTTTTCGTAAGTATTATCGTTCACTAGCAACCTTCGTTTGATTATTCTATTCAGTAACCTTCCCTATGTTACAACATGAATGCAACGAGCTAGACCGGAATTCGAACATGGCTCTCCACTTTTTCATTCAGAGTCGTTAACCGTTGGAGTATCTGTGCACATGTGTATGTTCAAGGGATATGAAACTGTACGGGAATAAATCTCAGGATGACATTTCCGACCTAAGGTTTCTGGTCGGGACCCGGAAATTTGAAAAACACTGCCATAGATACATTAGAAAATCTCATCCCACCAAGTAATTTCGCTAACGGCCATATCACGTTGAAACACCGTTTCCTGTAGGATCACAGAAGTTAAGCAACGTCGAGCCTAGTCTGTACTTAGCCGAGTGACCGCTTGGTAATACCAAGTTCTGTAAGCTTGGGGTGGTGCAATGGATAATTGCCCGGGATTGTCAATCGGAGAACAGAGTTATAATCACTTACGCAGAAATACACTTAGGAAAGGTATGAATCCATCTATTCTCCCCCCAGCTATAGGTTAATTAGTAAAACTTGTCTAACTAAACCATGATTATCTCCCAAAATAAAATAAATAAAATTACGTACAAAATATTTAGATTTCGGCATGAAATAACCCACAGGTGTCAATATGCCGCTAAACAAAAACAACCAACCATCCAAGGAATTTATTCTAGATATTTCTTATGAAACATATATTATTAGCTGAAATTCACTGATGATTTTTTCTTCGTTGTTTAAATGCATTTTTATGCAATTTAAACAATTTAAAATGAATTCAGACATGAGTTTTTATAAGCAACTGATTCCTAAATGTAATTTAATTTAATTAAATCTTAATTAAGCTGAATATTAAAAGGAATAAACCAAGTTTTTTTTAATCATTTCACCCCAAACAGGGCAATAAATCCACTAAGACATACTCGGTTACCGAGTGTGAGAGAATATGAGAAAAAGAAAACATTATTAACGCGAGAGAATAATAAAAAAAATAGGAATAAAGACGGCAGAAGATAACGAATGACTTTATGTTTAACCTTTTTTTTTATTTTGGAGTTTTTGATTTAACGCCATTTAATTCTGCGCATGCGTAAATGGATTCTATATGGGCAATTTCATTGTTGCTATGATATTTAAAAACAAGGATTGGTTTGCTCTCAAATCTTTTTTCTTTCAATGAGCAGATTGTTTTTTTTTTACTTTTTTTTTTCTAAACACAGTTCGTTTACGTGACGTCAACTTTTAAAACTGTGCATGGAATCATGGGAATATTTTATAAATTATTTCAGCTTTATGCATATAATACACATGAGCCCAGGAAAGTTTACTTGCGCACGCACACACACAAACACACACTTACACGGCTATAGCACATTCAATCGCCCATATATATATATATATATATATATCATACACAGAGTGTTGGTATTCATAAACTAGTGCTCGATGTAATATAACAGACCTATTAAGTACATTAATAAATATACATATTATCCTTCACCGCTAACACAACTCAATTTTCAGAAACTGACTCTCTCTCGCCCTCTCCTCTTTTATATATATATATATATATATATATATATATATATATATATATATATGTGTGTGTGTGTGTATATATATATATATATATATATATATATATATACATAGACACATACACACACATATATATATATATATATATATATATATATATATGTAAATTTTCTCAGAGTTAACCTGTAGAAAAGGCAATATGTATAAAGGTAAAAAACAATAGAAAAACTGTAATATTAACCGACGCGTTTCGTGCAATGTGATCATTTTCAAGGCAAAAACGAAATGAATTTATTAAAAACAAAGTAACTATTAATAACAAACAAAATGTCCTTAGCAACTGAGAGAATTTAGAAAACGCTATTATATTCCTATTGTCAACTGAAAATTGCGTCAAGTACTATCACGTATGGAAACATTATTTTTATTGTTGTGTTGACGGATTCAACCATTTTCTTTTGATTTCTTCATACAGTTGTGTACTTCGGCTTGGGAGAGTAGTAATTCTGTTAAGAAAGGTGATATTGGGAAAAAACCTGGGCGTAGGTTAATATTTGGATAATATTCAATGACTCTTTTGCTTTATATATGTATTGATCATTTTACTATATGTATTGTTCGTCTTTTTATATAAAAATGTATTGCAAGTATTTTTACAATTATAATGTATTTTTATACTTTCATAGTCTTTTTTTTGTTGGGGATTATTCACTATTTGCCCACAGCTGGGACCCTAACAGGTGCTACGACCCAGGATCAGTGGGTTCCGGGGAACAGCAACAATTAGTATGTGGCTCCTCAAAACTTCTAATCTCCTGATCAAAAGCCTTACTGCCGGATGTAGTTTATCGTCATACCCAGGACTCGACAAAATGATCTGAGCCTGGAACCATTGGCCTTAGAAAACAGTTGTGTACTGCAGACAGCTTAGGTATTTTTGAAAGTGGGGGTATTCCATATAAATACCTCGATCTGTCGAGGCTGTTTAAGAATATAAAAAACGAGTTTTCAGGTTGACGAAGAGGATGCAAAAAATAAAATCAGTTTTCCACGCTTCTCAATCCGGCAAAATCCTAAACAGAGGCTTCGCTACCAGATGGAGTTTGTCGTCATACCCAGGACGAAGCTGGGATGGGTATTGGGGGGTGAGAATAGTTTAATTCTTACCTTTCTCAAGGGTATTAACACGTAAGTGAACGCAATGAACTTGACTGGAATTCGAACTCGGCTCTCCGATTCCTCAACCCGGAACGTAACTACCACCTAATAACGTACGTCTCCATTTAGTTCAATATAACAGATCACTCTGTATTAGGAATGTGAGCAACTCGAGGTAGAGGGTTACAGAATAAGAGACACTGTTCATGCGGGTAGGTGGGGAAGTTTAACGCTTAAGATTTGAACAGGTTATGTTGTTTATCGTCATACCCAGGACCCTGATTTTGTAAAATGGAAAATTTGATAAAACAACATGTCTCGTCGATTTGTAAAATCTGAATTTACTTAAATTAAGTTTTGTGTCTTATAATTCGAGGTTGCGAATTACTTACAGAAAGAATCAAATAATGGTATATCATTCCGACATTTTAAAAATGGCGGAGATGCGACATCTTTTTCTAAATTCTGCGTGTATCTCTGTCCCAGATACTTTGCCTCAAGTAAGAATCTTCGGTAATTGATGTTCCTAATATCTGAAGGAATGGTGTACACAGATGTTAAAATCCCACGTACAGCTTTGTTTGAATCACCTACATTGTTTGCAAACGTTTTCTATTTCATTGTATGCACTGATATATGATGATATTCGGTTCACTGTGTTGTGCGAGACAATTTTTCTCACCAGAAACTATCTTACATATCTACAAGTCTACAATGTTTGGACGATCTGGTCTGGTGCTTCTGCTATAAATTTATGAAGTCCAAATAAAAATCTGCAATTTTATTGGTCCTGATCTGTCTCCTCCTGGGTATGACGATAAACTACATCCGGTAGTAAGGCCTCTGATCAGGAGGTTTTGAGGAGCATAGAAGCACCTTTTAATTACTGTTGTTTCAAAATTCGCCCTGACTCGGTATGGTAAGAAATAGTTACCCCCCCCAAGCTGGGGTCAAAACACCATGAGAGTATGAAAAATAGATTTTTATAGTAAAAAAAAAAAAAAACATTAATACATCTTTAAAAAGAAAAAGAAATATTACCAACAATATATTTCTCTAGCTCGCCCCCCACCCCAAAAAATAACACCTCTTTACAAAAAATACGTAAACTGATCTCCTACAAACCGATTTCTTACAAAGAATACATATTATATTCATACGAAACTATCCAAGGATTCTTGTCGACATTAAATGACCCATAGAGATCGATATGCCGTAAAACAAAATAAACCAAACCAAGCTCTCGATAAAAAAAAAAAATCAATGAAACCTGGTCTACAAACTGATTTCTTAAAAAGAATACAGATTGAATTCATACGAACCTATACAAAAAATGTTGTCGGTATTAAATAATACCCTGTAAAACAATGTAATGAGAAAAGCGGGTTTGGAAAATCTGATACTCACAGGACAGATTGAGAGAAAGAAGGACATGGGAAAGCAGCGCGTAATAAACTTGATGGGCTTGAGCAAATGGATGGTAGAACAGGGTTTGAGAGAAATATCAAAAAGACAAAACTTATTAAGAGCTACAAGAGTCAGGAAGACGTGGAGGGCTATGATCGCCTACGTCCTGAAAGGACACGGCACATAAAAGAAGAAGAAATCGTACTTTCCGCGTCAATAACACGATACTACCAGCACATCCACATCGCCCACTAATATTTTCGTATTCACGATTGAGCTTTTGTCTTTACAGTTCGCAGTCCCTTCCGAAGCAATAAAACAAATTTATGAGTCATTTTTATTTTTAACTAGCAGTAGAGGCTAGCGTTGCCCGGGGATGTAACAGTCAAGAGATAGATCAAGTATCGACCATCATAAAGACTGAAAAATAAAATTGACAAAGATTATTGTTTAAGGTTGACGGACACGCATTAGTTTTTTTTTTGTTTTTTTTTTACGAATTGGTCAAACATTGTTTTCAATCGTTATGAGTCTACCGATTGAATAGAATTTTATTATAAACAATTGTCTTGTAAATGGAATTTTTAAAGCATTCTGAATGTAAAAATAAAGAAGAAAGTGTGCAAGACAATAAAAACCACTACCTGCCAAAAAAAGTGAAGTTTTGTTGAAATCGGTTGAAAAATGTAGCAAATCCGATGCCATATATAAACGAACACACACACACACACACACACACACACACACACACACACACACACACACACAACCAACCTTTTATAATAAGTATAACTCGATATGAGTTGTCCCCCTTTCATTCTGGCGACAGAATCGTGTTTTCAAATTGATTTCGTGCAAAAACAATTGTGTTTTTCCAATTTTTGGCGCTGTCAGAACCACCGCAAGGTAATTTTACGCAGTCCTGTGAAGTTTTGTTGAAATCGGTTGAAAAATGTAGGAAATCCGATCCAATATATAAACGTACACACACACACACACACACACACACACACACACACACACACACACACAACGCACGCACGCACACAACCTGGGCTTTGTAATAAGTATGGTTTTAATCTTTGTACTTTATCTATGCCCTAGATATTGTTTTCATTCTAAGCCGACCTGGATTAAGTGGGGTTTGCAAAATTAAAAATAGCGCAAAGCCGATTAACACAGGATTAACCGGATATTCGTGTTTTAGTCTAAATATAGAATGGGGTATTTTCCATATATAGTTTCTCTCTATCTAACATATCTTACTCTTTCTCTCTCTCCATTACTCTCCTTTA